ATGCCTGGTAAAGAAGAAAACTGTGGAATCTGAAATCAGTGAATCAAAATTGGTCAGAAACTAGGCCTAACCGATGGACCAGATAATGATGGAATGGGCTATTCTGTCCAACACTCCCTTTTGTGGGTTCTTGAGGACAGAGACTTGGGGGACAAAAATTGGCTAGTGGAACAAGCTTTCATTGTGGCTGCCACTACTGTCATCTCCTGAGACCCTGGTTCTTCTTCATCTTGATCCTAAAAGATATCCTGACCAGACTGGGCTAACGAGAGTCTTTTTAAGAAACAGGATCTGACTTAAAGAGCAGTAACAAGCTCCAACTTATCTCAACTGATTTCTATTGTTTTCTTCCAAAGGAAGACTCATCAATGACACCAGCTGAAAGACTGTCAAGTAAGAGGTTCTCCTCCCCCCCCCCCCCCGAGAAGGATGTTTTAAAATGAAAGCCTTTCTTAATACTTTACATTGCAAATGCTTTAATGGTTCCCCCTTTTTCTCTGTATCGGGTTAAAAGGCTGTGAAATGCTGGGCTTGCCATGGTACTAAGCAGGTTGCAGCCCCTGTATACCAAACCCTGTACATTTTTTAGTACTGTTTAACGCTGGACAGTGACTGGATTGCATTAATAGTTGTAGCCCATAGATTCTATCAAAATTAATACAACAAGGGACCGCCCTTGTGTTCCCAACCTCTAAACCTGTGGGAAACTAAAAGGGGAGAGGGAACTGACCGGCCCATACTGTTGACTAAAAATTCTGGCTAAAGAAAAAGAAAGAGATAGCAACATTTCTCTTTTCCTTTGGAGGGGAGAAAGAAGAAGGGAGGAAGAAGGCTGTACCTCTCTGCCCTCCCACAAGAGAGGGACAACTAGTGGAAAGATGGGAGGGGAGAGATGAGTCTTCTGCAGAGAATGGCAACTAGTGGTCTCACATCCTCGGTGAGTCTCCTCCAATCAGCTGCTGGTGTGGAAAAATTATAATCTGATGAATTGGTGGGGGGGAGGGTGTGTATTTTTCTTTCACAGTTTTGTTAAAAAACAAACAAATTTTCAGTGAAAAATCAATACCTTTGAATAGCACCTCTTAGGGTATGTCTACACTACCCCGCTAGTTCGAACTAGCGGGGTAATGTAGGCATACCGCACTTGCAAATGAAGCCCGGGATTTGAATTTCCCGGGCTTCATTTGCATAAGCCGGCCAGCGCCATTTTTAAATGCCGGCTCGTTCGAACCCCGTGCCGCGTGGCTACACGTGGCACGGGCTAGATAGTGTACAGATAGTGCGGAATGGCTTGCTAGTCCGCACTATCTAGCCCGTGCCGCGTGTAGCCGCGCGGCACGGGGTTCGAACGAGCCGGCATTTAAAAATGGCGCCGGCCGGCTTATGCAAATGAAGCCCGGGAAATTCAAATCCCGGGCTTCATTTGCAAGTGCGGTATGCCTACATTACCACCCTAGTTTGATCTAGGGTGGTAGTGTAGACATACCCTCACTTTGCAATGCTGATAATTATTGTCCACAGAGCACTAAAAATGTGTTGTCCATTGCTAACACCTCCCCACACTCACTTCTGAATTGTGTAGCAGATGTAAATGTTGGCTCAGTTTGTACATGCTTTTGCATCCACCTCAACATCAAAATAAAAAGACTGCCCAATTAATAATGAGATACCATGGACAAACCCAATCTTTTCTCCAATACATCACCCTTGTTTTATAATCATGTACGTAGAGTACTTGGTACATGCAAAACTTGCACTAAGATTTGCAGGTTTTGTTTTTATGTCTATCTTTTCTAAAAAAAAATATTATGGCTTCACTAGATGCTTTTCTTATAATAAACTGTAATAAAGAAGCTAGCAAGAAAACCGCAGTGATCTTGGCAAACCAACAATTGAAAAGTACAGGTGGTAGGAGTGTATATGGGCCTAAACTAAACACTTTAAAAATCAAAAGAAGGTACCTTTCATTCTGAAAAATGTATGTGAGTATTTGCAATCCACAACCGATAGCACATAACGCCACTTTGCTTTATTTCTTGACAAAGGGAATAGCTTGTGGTAACAAGCAGATGCTTGAGTGGTCTGGGTAGCATGAGGTGTACCATCAGTCAAGAAAATCAATATTTACTGTTCTAGTATCTTTGTGGTGTGGGAGTCTGCCTTGTTTAAAAAGAGGATTGTGTATAATATATAAGGCCTGGCTTTTAGTTAATCAAAAGAGAAGTGTTATTGAAAAGGGTGCATTCTTTACAATGAGTCACATTTAACCACTAGATGTTCCATACTTCTTTCTAGTCTCCTCATTAATTTTGCATAAAAATCATGGAAAAATAATGTAATTTTTAAATTGGAAATCTTACTACAATCCCATTTCTTTTTCAAATGTACTTGGGGCTAGCTAATGTGCTTTATGTGTGATATTAAAAACTATGTTTTTATACTTGCTGAAAATGTGAATCCTTTCCAAAAAACTTGGGAACTTTTAAATATTGAGCATTGCTAGCACAATAAAGTACTTCTAACACTGATTCCCAGCTAGAGTCTACTTTGTGCACATCAAAAGAATCACAACAATATGAACTGAAATATGGGTCTAGATAGTTCTCCAAACTTTGCCCTCAAGGAAACACAGTTTTATAGAAGAATACAATAGAAGTTGCATAACTAGACTTTTAGCAATAAGAGTTTAAAACTCTATACATGAGTTTTGAGAGTACTCTTCACTGAAAAGTTCATTTTGCTTTGATTTTTTTTGGTTGTGAGCTAATTAATTGTAACTCTCGTGACCTTTTTTCTGGTTTGAGGCTTTTCAACTATAATTTATCATTTTAGTTTTTAAGGGAATATGTATCAACAAAGAAAAGAAACCTAGAGATAGTCCATACAGTTCATAATTTCCATATGCTTCATGTAGGCAAGTTATATGAAACTGGAAGTGACAAATTGCTTTAAATGCAGGGGATGCAAATTCTTGTCAATTGTTAACTGCTTTGTTATGGTTTACAGTTCTCTCTCTTTTTTCACTATGTCATTTATTATGGCCTCTCTGTTCATGATTCCAAAAATAAACTATAATCTGAAACACAAGTTAAACAGGGGTTTTAAAACTGTATTTTGTAGAAATATCAATGGGGAAAACAAACCCCCAAACATGATATACATAGTTTGAGTACTGTGGTAATTTTTCATTGTGGTTTGAGGAAAATTGGAGTGATACAGAAAGAATAGGAAGAATTAATAAATCACTATTTTCACGGTATGTCCTCGTTGTTTTTTATTCCTTTAGCAAAAAATGTACAGCATGCTGGAATTGCTTTGTCCACACAATTGCTTCACATGTGCTGATCTTGAGACTATCAGTTAAACATAGGTAGCATTTGTCTATAAACAGCATTATAACTTTGTAACCATAAAGGAAATAGAGGAGGTGAATATTAATTATTAATAATTACTTTAAAGTTGATGCCAGTTTTTTATAGGTATTACAGCAAAGGAGAGTGTGAAGGAGGACAAGGAGGTAATTTTATGGATGTTCATGGGGACCTCTTCTCAAACGTGAGGGGTAGCAGAGAAGAAAAATGAGAAAAGAACACATGTAGGACCATAGAATTTTTATCTGATCAGTTCACCATTAAGGAACAATGAAGATGCAAGTTCTCGTTCCACTGAGTCCTGGTTACCAAATTGGTAGAGACCTGAATCTGCAAATAATAAAAGTCAATGAGACTTTGTGAGGTTGCAGTGGCCCTTACTCTAATTTAGTTGCAGGATTATGGCTCTGGGGGTATGTCTACACTACCCCGCTAGTTCGAACTAGGAGGGTAATGTAGGCATACCGCACTTGCAAATGAAGCCCGGGATTTGAATTTCCCGGGCTTCATTTGCATAAGCTGGGTCTACACTACCCCGCTAGTTTGAACTAGGAGGGTAATGTAGGCATACCGCACTTGCAAATGCACGAGGAGTAACGGTAGTTCGACCTAGGAAGCCTAGTTCGAACTACCTAGTTCATGCCCTGTGTAGCCGCGCTGCACGGGGTTCGAACCAGCGGGGTTTTAAAAATCGCGGCTCCCCGCTTATGCAAATGAAGCCCGGGAAATTCAAATCCCGGGCTTCATTTGCAAGTGCGGTATGCATACATTACCCTCCTAGTTCGAACTAGGAGGATAGTGTAGACATACCCTGGGTTAGTAAATGTGGTAAATGTCAGTCAGGTAAAAGTCAACACACATTCTCCAACAGCAAACAGTATATAGGCCAGTATATAGACAAAACAGAGACCTTAAACTTGTATTCCATAAAAGCCTCACAACTATTGAGATGAGACAACACTGACAACTTCCAAAGCAATTGTCACCATTACTAGTGAGCTGTGGACTTCTCTGTGCTGCTGCTGTTTTTCCTTATTTTGTTTCCACGTCTGTGAACCAAAGCTCTGGATAGGAGCTCTGTCTAAACATGAAGTCTCATTTAATCAGGGAGCTGGAGAGTGTGCTAGGTTCATAGCCTGGGATCTGATGAGTAAATAAGTGAGCATGTTAAATGTTGTGCCTCTAGCACTTTAAAAACAGATCAAATTAATTCCTTTTCCTGACAATTAATTATACAGTATTCATTCTAATGTATTTATCTCAGACCAGTAGGTGGCTTTCTTTCCTGTATGTAGTGGGTGTCATCTTCAAATTCTTAGAATTTAAAGAATGCAAAATGAATTGCAAAATACTGGTGATGCCTACACTGCAGAGTTTTTTCAGAAAAATGCTATCTTTCGATAAAGCCAATCACTTTTTCGATGTGCCTTTGCTGTGTAGACGCTCTCTTTGAGAAGAAGTTTTTTCTGAAGATCTCTTCCAGAAAAGCTTCTTCCGAAAGAAGCCTGCAGTCTAGATATAGCCTTTTAGTGAGTTGCTGTTGGCTTAATCCTTTTAATAGCAAGGTGGTGGCTTTTTCTGCACACATGGAGGGTTGGTGGCTTCTCACTCTTATCTTTTTTTCCCCAGCACAATCATCCCCATCAGAGATCTTCCTTACTATGCCCCAGGTTCACAGCTCACATGAATTTTTCACTTGGAATTCTTGAGTCTACTCAAATGCACAGCACCAAATTCCAAGGCCTTCCAGTCAAACAGAGTCAACACAAGAACATTTTCCCAACTCAGAGAAACACCTGGAGAGATTCAGGTAAAATAGTTGTGCTTTAAATAATGGTCTGATAAAACATCTCCACTGTTAGCAATACAAATGTGAACCTCTGTTGTCATCTCAGTTTGTTTCCAAGAGGATGATGGGGAATGTAGGAGAGACCATCATGATGTGTTAGTACTTCGTGCATTCTTTTGTATTGCAGAACCAAACAGAGTATAAACTTTAAAGTACTTTCACTTAGAAAATATTTTATTGCAGGCCAACAGTATACCTGAGTAGTGCACTATTTGATATAACCACACTTTTTGTCATTTAATTCTGGGACTGTATATGGTGGCATTACAATCCATTGGTATACTATTTCAATAATCAAGATTAGTCCTGTGTATTAAAACAAAATCGTAGATTGCATTGTTTCTAAAGGGCAACAATTGTAGATGTATCAAAATTAAAAATTGCTAATTAATTCCACATGCGTTACTTACCATTAAGGGAATTGTTAACGTTATAGTGGTGATTACTATAACCATAATTTGAAATAAATTAATAAATTCTAAGGTCAAAAGGGAAAATTGTGATTATCTGGTTTAACCTCCTGCATAGTCCATTAACTTTCACCCAACAACTCCTGAATCAAATTGTTCACTTGTGGTTGAACTAAAACATAACTTTTAGAAAAACACCAAGTTATTATTTAAATATTTCAAGTGATGGAGAAACTCTCCTTGGTAATCTGTTCCTTCAGTTAAACCACTCTGTTACAAATCTGTGCCATATTTCCAGTTTAAATTTGTCTAACTTCAGATCTCAGCTTGACCCAATCACCAGGTTTTTTTTTCTCCAGATGCACATATCTGCCTTTTGAACTGTTTTTCTTGTACTATAATGTATCAAGACAGTCTGGCAGTAGACTTCTTGATATTTTCTTGGTATGTTTGTATGACTTATCTTTGGCTTGAAGTCTCACTGACTTCTGGATAAACTTAAAAGAAACAACAAATAGTTCTGCAGCACCTTAGGATACGTCTACACTTGCACCCTATTTCGAACTAGGGATGCAAATGTAGGTGACCGAAATTGCTAATGAAGTGGGGATTTAAATAGCCCATGCTTCATTAGCATGATCTCGCTGGCGCGTTACTCCGCTCAACAGCTGTTTCAAAAGTGAAAGTTAGCTCCGGGACACGTTTGTTCGAACCAAGGGGTTTGGCTCGAACTAACACATCCCGGCGCTCACTTTCACTTTCAAAACAGCTGTTGAGCAGAGTAATGCGCCGGCGAGATCATGCTAATGAAGCGCGGGATAGTAAAATCCCCACTTCATTAGCTATTTTGGTCACCTACATTTGTATCCCTAGTTCGAATTAGAGTGCAAGTGTAGATGCACCCTTAGAGACTAACAAAAAATGTACCTGGTATCATGAGTATCTGAAGAAGTGGGTTGTGCTCACGAAAGTTCATGATACCATTTACATGGTTTGTTAGCCTCGAAGGTGCTGCAGAGGTGTTTGTTTGTTTGTTTTAAGTTTTTTCAGTTTCAGACTAGTACGGCTACCTCTCTGTGACTTCTGGATGAGTTGCAAGTGCACCAGAAACATGTCATACTGATTTTCATGTATACTGTGTCCTATGTCTTTGAAAGAGCCATGACGGCACCTTGGCCTATAGAACCTACTTAAGAATATTGCCTTGAGTTGTTGGGACTCAGCAGGAGAGGTTGTGTAACCTTTTAGCTGTCTCTGAAAAGCAGAAGCTCTTAGTTTGGCTCTTCCCAGTTGTCTAGGGTCAAATGTTTACTCAGCAGGGAATCAGACATTTTCTCTATAGTCTTCAGCTTCAAAGGAGAATTGGTGTGAGGCCAAATGCCAAGTGCTGCGGAAATTCCTCTCTATTTACTAAGGGCTACAGTTTATTTCAAACGAGTGCTAAGAAAGGGCACAGATTCATCATAGGGAGTCTCAATTTAAGAGGCTCACATTTAGGAACTATCTCAAATTCTTTAAGTGGAATCTATTTTAACAGTAAGGTGTCTGGAAAATATATGGAAAAAATGCAAGATTTCTGAATTAAGATTGTTTGATCTGAATATGAAATAACATTTAATTGTTATATTTCCCAGACTGAGTGATTTCTGAGATTTGCCTCGAAAATATTTTGAAGATTACAGACCAAAAATGACATAAGCTTAGCTACTACCGTAATATATATGAAAAATCAAAATATGCCCTCTGTGTTTATAGATCGGTAGCTAACAAGTGTTCCATTGCAGAGTATTAATTGAACGTGAGTTAAAACACTCCCATTCTATATATACACGTATCATTCCAAAATAACTGTATATAACCAGGGAAATATACAAATCACTTGTACCACACGGATGGTTAGGAATGCTTTTGGAAAATATGAGTATATACAATTGTTCTTGTCAATTCTTAGATGAATATGCTTATGCATTTTTTCTGTATTGTGCAAGTCACTTATGTAAGCAGATAAGTGAAATAAAGGTTCAATTACTGTATACTGTTGCTGCTGTTTTTATGCCCTTTCATTATAGGCAGCACAGGTAGCAATGCCTACAGCCAAGTTTGCCTAACACTTCCCACTGTAAGCAATTGAAAGCAGGTTTTTATAACATTGCCAAACTTTAACCATTTAGACTGAAATGTTTAATGTTGGGTGTCTGCCTCAGGCCATTTTGTTTGTTTTGTTTCTGAAATTTGGGTTCAAAGGATTAATCTGTGTCTGAAAAAGATGCTAAGAAAAAATATGTTTTGCCCATGTTAAAAACAAATTATTGTAACAGGAGTTTAAAACTTGGTAATGGTGGGGAGGGTTGCCCTGGGCTCAAGGATGTGCCTTTTGTCATCTTTGTGAAAAACGCACCCACATTGGCATTTACAGACATCTGAAAAATCTCAGTTCACATGTGCTCAGAGGAGACTTGTTGGATTTTGTTCTCTAAATTCTCTCTGCATCGAGCATGGCCCATCCACTTACAGCTCTTACACGTGGCCAGATTATACCAGGGTTGCCAACTCTGAGATGCACTGCTTGTCCCCACCAGCCCGACCCTTCCTTCCCCTTCTGCCTTCCCCTCCCTGCCATGCAGGCAGCAGTGCAGTGTGGGGACTGTAGGCAGCTCAAGTCCTCTTTTCCTCTTATCTTCTAATTACCCCTCTACCACACCCACTCCCAAGAACCTGGCTCCTGCCACTCCAGTCTCTATTGCCAATACCATGCTGCTGGTGAACCTTGATCCATCCAGTTCCTGGTCCCCATGTTGGGAGGAGCCACTGCCGGCTTCAGCAGATTGTAGACTTAGAGCAGGACCTAGGTGCTGGACTGGTTATGCTCTGCTCCCAACCGTACAATGTGCACTCACTCTTAATTACAAGATCTCTGCTTGGCTGGCCAGCTTACAGTGGGGATGTTGGTGCCTTGAAAAAAACATGGCACGTTTTCACAATTAACTGGCAAGGTACCACTACAAGGCACAACAGCTGGGTGGCAATCCTAGATTTTATATGCACCATCCCTACAGAATGACTGAACAGGATCCAGCCCAAAACTGGGGGTAGAGGAGGGCTAAGCTCTGCTCTGTAAGGGTATGTCTACACTACCACCCTAGTTCGAACTAGGGTGGTTAATGTAGGCAACCGGAGTTGCAAATGAAGCCCGGGATTTGAATTTCCCGGGCTTCATTTGCATGTTGCCGGGCGCCGCCATTTTTAAATCCCCGCTAGTTCAGACTCCGTGCCCGCGGCTACACGCGGCATGAACTAGGTAGTGGGGATTAGGCTTCCTATCCGAACTATCTGTACTCCTTGTGGATTTTTAATATTGACATCATGTTTGTTTTCCTTTATGAAGCAGCATTGTGGATATCTACAACAGAAATTGATAAGCTCAACTCATTCCAAAATAAATGCCTGCATAAGTGTTTCAGAGTCCTATTAGTGTTTTTTGAAATATCAGAAATTCTGCATAGAGCAAAACTATCTAAGGGTATGTCTAGACTACATGGCTCCATCGACGGAGCCATGTAAAATAGTTTACCTGGCATAGTCAAAGAAGCTGGGATTTAAATAATTCCCACTTCATTAAAATAAAAATGGCCACCGCACTGTGCCAATGATCAGCTGATCCGGCACAGCGCGGCAGTCTAGATGTGGCGTGGTCGACAAGGGAAGCTGCTCCGGTATGCCTCGTGAAACAAGGTTTATCGGAGCAGTCGACAAAGACTTCCTTTGTCAACCGTGCTGCGTCTCGAGTGCCGCGCTGTGCCGGATCAGCTGATCATAGGCACAGCACGGTGTAGCCAGACAGCCCCCCCCCCCCCATTCCTCCATTTTATTTCCGTCCTTG